ATAAGTGAACACGCCGCTTCCATTTTGAAAGAGACGTATACAGCAGCCAATCTGCTATAAGACTTGAAGAAGAGCTGTCTGGATAGTTGCTTATTAATTTTGACTTTACCTAGAAGATATACTTTCGCTTTTGCCATTCAGTATTGTTCTCGACTTTCTCTCTGAAAAGGTGCTGATTTTGGAAGGGAGCGAAAGCCTCGGACTAGAGGCAGGCGCAATTCAAGAAATCTGGCCTGATATCTTGTTGAACGGCGTGAAGACAGTTGTTCTAGCAAAGGAACAAGAATGATGGTTGAATTGCGTTGACACCGAAGCATAGTGGAGATTTAATGGAAGGATTAAGAAGTAAAGAGTGACCCTGCTCTCTTCCGGGAGCAGGTAAAGAATGGGAGATTAGGAAAATGAGGTTAGCCCTGTTATACAAACTTGTTGCATGCTCAACGGCATTTACTCCAATCCGTTTGCTCCTCGTGTGGGACCTGAAATACGGCAGATCGGGAGGTCAGTATGAAACGTTAAAAAACAAGGTAGAAACAGATCTGCTTTCAGAAAGGAATATTCCTTGTGCGATACAGTTTTACAGCAAAAGTGTTGAGAAGCTGCTAGTACAGCGGGCATCACATGCAAGAAATGTTCTGTTTGGTAAAGAGTTCATGATTATGATATTAACAAGCCACAAAAAACAAACATGGCTTTCATGAATGGTTCCCAAAGGCGACTGGGAGCACTTAGGGAGAGGTGCGTGTTCACAAATAGCCTCCAATGGCAATTTTCCCTCATTTCCACAACTATGGTAATCGTTACAGTTGGAAAAGGGATCGTTACCTTCAACTTTTAGATGTTTCGATTGGGGCTGCATGGAAAATTTATTGACTTTGACAGTAGTTGGAAAGTGCGACCAAACTGGTCATACGAAATACAGTGCGTGACATGATCGATGGCTCCACACCACGCACAGAAACACAGTAAGTAACGAACGGCTCGTTATGAAACCGGTCACTGGCTCGCTCGCTTGAACTTGTTTAATGACGACGGCGACGAAGCTGTTGACAATCACAGATGACATCTCGTAACAGCGCTCGTTCCCCGTCGAAACTGGATGGCAGTAGTGGGGCGGCGAGTAACTGACTATTCGCGCATTCTTGCAAAGGCAGGAAGAAGAGCAAGCAATCATCACTGTGCGGCGGTGACCGACGTGCATGGCGAACGATATGGTGGCAAGAGACAGGCGACGACCCTCTGCACAGTGTGCACTAGCCACCCTTCCTGTCCCATAGCCGAGATCGGTGGTCTTGATGCCCCAGCCGTTCCTACAAGCATAGAATGTACCCGTTGCAGTTTTCCGGCCAGACCATGAGGCACCGTCGAAGCAGGCTTCTCTGGTACGGATGGATACTACTGGCGCTGGGTGCCGCCGCGATCGTCAACGGCTCGGTGGCGACCGCGTTCGAAGCCGTCAAGCTCTACTACATGATACAGTATGTCAATACGCACTGGATCACC